TCTATATTTAGTCTGTTAGTTGTGTTAAAATAAATATATATATTTAGTCTGTTAGTTGTGTTAAAATAAATATCTATATTTAGTCTGTTAGTTGTGTTAAAATAAATATCTATATATTTAGTCTGTTAGTTGTGTTAAAATAAATATCTATATTTAGTCTGTTAGTTGTGTTAATATAAATATCTATATCTATATATTTAGTGTTTACTTCTCTGACTTATGTTCTTTATCCAGAGATATTGTTAGAAACCCTTTAAGAGTAGTCAGTGTAGTCGCTCCTCTATATAAATACAAGATAGGAAAATAATAATATTGATAATGATAATTTTAATAAAAATGATTATTAATAATGATGATAATGGTTTAAATCATACAGGGTGTCCCAATAAACATAGGAATTCAGTGACGAATTCGATATTGTCTTTTCAAATAATTCTTTGATTTAGTATAGTGATACCTACTGAGAAAGCTGTAATCTGTAAGAGTTACGTCTGTAAGTGTTTTGACTGCATACGGTTGTACTTAGTAAAACAAGAAAATTGCTGTATACAAACAGAGTAAACTTGCCCTTCTTCATTGTTCATCTTGCGGGGACATTATAGACACATCTTTACAGCCATTTACCGTTGTCATAAAATAAACTCTAGCAGACATAATAATATTATGGTTTTTGAAATTAGGTATTACAATGTTAATTCATAACAAAGACGATATCGAATTCGTCACTGAGTTCCCATGTTTTTTGGGACACCCTGTAGATATCTTAATACAAAATAAATATAGAATAAAAAAGTCAAACAATAACAAATTATTAACAATTTCTATCTATCCCTGTATTCAAGTAAAATCACTAAAATGAAATATTGGTGAAAACCAACCATTTTCAACTTTTCACTAGAATATGCGTAAGTTGAGGTGCGTGTACGCAAGTCTGAGCGTAAAACCTGGATTAAACTGATCCAACATCAACTTGGTTTCAAATATTTTCCAACTAAAACCAGGGGTTGACATATTCTTCATAATTATATTCCCTTGATTATTTTTTATCGGTAAACTTTAAAAATTACAATTTTACCAAAAAATACTGGAGAAATACATAAAAATCCCTTAAAATCGTACATAGTTATATATATATATGTAAATTGTTCATGATGGACTTTTTATTCCGTGTGGAAGGGGGGTGGGGGGAAATCCTGAGGGAAATTAAGATTAAATGAAATTAAATGAAACTTTATATTGTTTTATTCCTATTTCTTGTTAAATATCGAGGACATTTGGTTGAATTCAAACAAGAAATATTTTCTGGAGCGTGGAAAATATATAAACGTACTTTATTGTAATTACTTAATTGAACCTAAGTAAGATATGTATATTGTATAGAAAACCTTGAAAACTGATACAAAAAGATAACTGGATTACTGGATACTGAAACCTGGACACTGAATACTATAGATACTGGATACTGGATGCTGGATAGTGGATGTGGATACTGGATAGTGGATGTGGATACTGGATACTGCAATACTGGATACTGGATACTGTTATACTGGATACTGAATACTGGATACCGGATACTGGATACTGGGAACTTAATACTGGATACTGGATATTGGATATTCAATGCTGGATACTATTGATACTGATATATTATAGATACCACAGATACTGGATACTGGTACTGGACACCCTGAAGTGGAGAGAAAACAAAATTATATGTTTTTTTTTTGTGTGAAATTATTAAAAGTTCTAAAAAGCACAAATAAGAGATTCTCGGAGAGGGGGGGGGTGTTACTTCATAGTCATTGCAATACTTTCTTTTAGTTGAAAATGAGAAATAGTGAGAAATTCTGTTAAAAATGATGGGCGAAGCGGCAAAGACAAATTTGGTGAATTATCAAGGGCGTATACAGGGGGGGGGCAAAGGGGGCAGTGCCCCGGCCCTAGACAGGTAAAGGTGGGGGGCAAGCTTTCACACTTTTCAAATCTTAAACTCAAGAGTGTAGAACATAAAAAAAATTGGTTTGCTGACAGAAGTCCGAATGAAAAATCTATTTAGAATGCTCATTGCACATTCATCCTAATCGGATGGGCGCTATCAGGGAAAGCGAATGAAAAAAATTATTTTTAAATGCCAAGCCATGAAGGCTTGAGTTTGGAGGTAGTAAAAACCATTTTTTGTTTTGTTTTTTAATTTGGATTTAATTTACTTTATTAATTGCACCGCCGTTTGGTAATCTTTCTTTTTATTACAAACTAGCTGAAGTGCCAGGCGTTGCCCGTGGAATTTTAAAAATCGAATTAAATAAAAAACTTATAATTTATTTAGCTTATGTCATCCCCAAGGGTATCGCATGATTTTCCTCACTAAAATTCAGCCCATTTAATTCAGCCGTTTGGCCAGCCACGAGCAAACATATAAATGAACAAAGAGCTTTATTATATAGATTTCAATTGTGCTACTACTTTTTTTTCAAAACGTAATTTTTTGTCCTTTTCTCATCTCATAGAATTTTAGTTTAAGTTGAGTTTTTCATTTTCAAAACTGTCTTTTACTATCTCTAGTTTAAATACTAAATACTAATTAATACTAATTATTACTATCATAACAGTATCGTAAAATGTCGTATTTTTAGAAACAATGCTTTTTCTGCTAGTTTTGTTTAAAGGAGAGATAAAGTATAGACAGTACATGCAAGGTAATTGGACTGTATGTGTACCTTTAAAGCATCTTATGCTTCTGCCTGATATCCAAGAAGCCAGCTGTTTTGAATTTACAGTTCAAATTTTGCCCCCCCCCCCTGCCTAGGAGCTCCTAAGGGGGGGGGCAAACATTATTTTGCGCTTCGCGTAAATAATTCGCCCCAATCTAGATTTATTTCTGTATACGCCCTTGTCCATTTTTCTTAATTGCACGCAAAATTTGATAAAAAAATTGTCCACAATCCTGATCATGACAGAGTCTAGGGAGAGGGGGGCAGGTTTGCAACACCCCCCCCAGGCGCGCAACTAGACATTTTGTTAGGGGGGTAAGAGGGAAATATTTCGCTTGAAAAAAGAAATCTATTATAGTTAATATATATCACAATAATATAATAATTAATTTACAATATAATATATATATATATGTTCATTATTCGTCCATAAATCAAAAATGTACGTTGTACTCAGAACTGACAAGAAATGCCTTTCATAGTTGTAATACAGTATATCTATTGAAGTCATTGAAGTATACGCTCACGTTCAATTATTATTTTTTTTATTTCACGATCAGAGCTCATTTGCTGAGGGTCAGGATTCATGAATCGTTAAATTGCAAAACAAGGTGGACTTCTTGCCCCCCGGGGGGAGGCAAACCTTCTTACCCCTCCTTTTAATCAGGCTTTGCCCCCCCTCAAAATATTTTTGTGGGGGGAAGAAAAATGTGCAATTATTCAAACAATAAAAAATTAACCTTACCAACCGGATATTCAGTATGACCCAATCTGATATGAAATAAAAAAGAAATTTATCAAACCATTTTTTTAGTTATACATGAAAATGCCTTAAAAAGAAGAGGTGGGGGGGGGGGGATTCTATGCTGTCCCATATAAATGCCTCATAATTTACACTTGCAATAACCTACATTTACGTTTACATAATGAAAGATATTGGTTGTACAAGCTGTTGCTTCATCTGCTATGAAGGAGTAGAATTTTCCAGATTTAATCTCATTCAGAATAGATTTTAGGAATAGGACTTTCGGAGCTTTCAGTAACTCTATACCTGTAAACAATCAAACGATTTCCGGTGAATTCAGGACTTTCTGAAAGCGGCGATAAGTCTGCTGTCAATGCATAAATAAGGCGTTAAGTCATTTTCTCAGAATTACGATTCTTGCATATAACCAATGTAATTTTATACCCAACTGAAACACAAATTTTGTAAATATTCTTGTTATAATTCTACTCAGAACCTTCGAAGAATCATAAGTCATGGTCATCCTTCCAAACTTTTGTTTGTCCTATTTAATTGATCAGTTCTAGCATATATTTCTGTACTTTTAACCGCATTTGTCAAGCTATTTTCAGTTTGTTTATTCTCCAGTTTTTTCGGTTTTTTCGTTTCCTTTTTGTCATTTTTCTAGTTTCCAGTTTTGTTGTTCTTTCTGAGTCTGCTCAAGTCCAGCTGTCCTTCATGATTGCAGCATTATACCGAATGGAAAATTTTATTCTTGTTTTTGTTATTGATCTCATAAAACCATATACTATGTATGTATATAGAGAGTAAATTGCGGTAAGCAATTTCTGATTTATATAAATTCTAACTTTAGAGTTTCTCAATTTACATCTGTATGTTTTAAAAAATTATTCATTTAAATGTATCTTTGTCTTTTTTCGTTAATAAAAGTTTGAAGAAGAAGAAGAAGATTTTAGGACAACGTCTTCACCATTATTCAAGCAATAATTTACTTTATCATTAAGTAGTCCCCTCCCCCCAAAAAAGAAAAAATGAGCTTAAACTTTATGATTTGTTATATATTGCTATTCCTAAAATTTTGATCTTAAGCTGTTCCGAATTTTCCTGGCGACGATTATTATTGATCCCTTCTTTTCATCTTGTTTTTGAATCATTCCTCTGATTGAACAATAAGCTCATGATAAACTAACGTTCAATTATCATTTTTTTATTTTACGATCAGAGATTTTAAATTTGCTCATGGGGTCAGGATTCATAAATCGCTAAATTGCAAAGCAGGGTGGACTTAACTTGCCCCCCTTAATCAGACTAGGGGGTGCCTTGCCCCCTTCCCCCCCTTGTTGCCCGCCTTGTTGCGCCACTGCCCCTTTCTTCTTTTCCTTGAAAGCACACAGCCCACTTTTTGTCAGTAGGTCGGGTTACGAAACACTTTTTGATTTGTTGATTATATCTTATTAGAAAGTATAGTACGGGGCATTCTTTGCCTTCCGCGCAGTTTGATTCTATTCAATTCAAATCAAACAAAAACAATTGAGTAATGAGTTGATGATGTTAAAATTGTTATGTTCAAATGCATATCTTGAAACCAAAGTAGCCAGAAAAGTCTAATTCACGAAGAAAAATACGAACAAAAGATATAATAAGCCAGACCCGTCGCTCCTTCTCCGGGTATATTCCTAGTATACGATTTTTGGACCCCCCCTACGGGGGGGGGTCCAAAAATCGTATACTAGGACAGACCCCTTCTCCGGCTTTGATTAAATTACAATTTACACTCTAATATTGTAGTTCCCCATGCATAACTCCCTCACCTTGTATTAGGGACTGACAGCTTAAGTAAAGGTGACCGTTTCATTAAATAATCACCATTGCCACCATTTTATGCTATTTCAAACGTATCTGGAGTGTTAAAATTATCTTGGAACAAGATCTCAAGGGCTGGGTGTTTGCATTTACAAGGGATTGTTGAACCTGTTAACACTCAGGCAGTCTTTGGGTCTGTTCTAGTAAACGCTTTTTGCCCCCCCCCCCCCCTCTCCTACCAATCATTTTTGTACATGATTTTGATTTCAACTATAAACTTAATATTAAGGAGGTTATTAATATTCAATTGGTATTACTTCAAGGTTAGGAAGCTATAAGGTTGAGTGCTGCGGCTAGGAAAGATTAGGAGCAAAGCGCGGCAAGGTTGGGCTAGGGAGTCACGCGGGGTCCGTCCTAGTGAACGATATTCGGACTCCCCTCCCCTCCCTCCTATCAATTTTTTACATGACTTATTATTTTTTTATTATTATTTTAGGTTAGGTTAGGTTAAGACAATTTCTGGGCCGAGCGCTACGGCTAGGACAGGCTATATCCATGTGTTATCCATGTACAAAATTTATAGAGGAGGGGGGGTCCAAAAATCCTTCTCTAGGAAATTACCCGCGTCTTAACTATGCACATGTGTTTCATTTGAGTTGCCCAAAGGAAAGTTTTCGGGGGAGGGGGGGCAATTTTGTGCGCTAAATAATTCCATGAATATGAAGCTCTCAGACTTCGGCTGGGACAGGCATAGAGATCGACCTATATAAAAAAACTCCCTTTTTTCCTTTTGCTAATTTATGAGAAAAAAACACTTTTTCCGATAATACTTAAAATCCGCACCGTTTGAAATTACTGACTTTTGTATCTTTCTAATTTCTCTAATATTTAAATTTTTAGAATATTTAATATTTGAATAAAATGCTTGAATCGTCGTCAGTTGGCGAAGAAGAGCCGACTAAAGAGCAAGCTGGGAGTATAAATGCAATTGATAAAACTACAGTTCATCAGATCTGCTCAGGGCAGGTTATACTAAACCTCGCCACGGCAGTTAAGGTATTTTGAATTATTTTGTCCATTTCCAAATTTAGTTAGTTTCTAAAATTGAAAATTTTTTGTAAAGAATCTTATTCTTATTAAATTTATTGTATTACCCACTTAATTTTGTTGCGGATTCGGATCATTAGCACTGGCAATTTTGTATTTCGTATTATTAATTTCAGAATTGTTAATTTAATAATTATTGATCTCTTGAAGCTTTCAGGAGAAATACTACAAATATCCTGATCAGCATCTCGAAACTGCATATTAACCATCCTATTAACCATCCTGGGGGGGGGGGGGTATGCAGCTAATTGAATGAGCAAAATAAGACAGCCAGGAAGCAAGAAGATAGGAAAAATGATTTTCTGCATTCTGCATTAAATACATGTATCAAATAATTTGTTTTATAAAAAAACTAAAAAAAAATAAATTGATACAGTTAAGAAAAGCTTTAAGGAATGGGTAATTTGAGGTTAAACATTTAGCCTCAAATATTAAAGGGAATGTCTGGTTAGACATGGTAGTTCAGCTGAAAATGCAGTTTTGTTTAGAACTTTTTTAGGATTCATTTGAGACCTATCAGACGTTTTTACAGTGCACATTTGTTCAGCAAGAACCCAAATTCAGTCTTTATTATACTCATTAAGTTTCCATTTTGGAGAGATGATTTTGAGAATCGGTTTTATAAAAATTATTACCATGCCAGACACTCCCATTAAAATTGCCCATATTGAAAAACAAGATAAAGTGTTTAAGATAAACAAAAAGTTTCTCACCTCTGATAAATACAAGTTAGAAAAAGAAAAAAAAGATGATTTTTTATTATCTTATTATCTTCTAACAGGAATTGGTTGAGAACAGTCTAGATGCTGGAGCTACCCAGGTTGAGATTAAACTCCGGGATCATGGATCTGCTTGGATTGAGGTCGCAGATAATGGAGCAGGTTTATTCAGATTTATTATATTTATTATTAAATGTTTATTATCAGTTAATAATTACCCTAACGGACCAAAAAATTAACCGTAAAAAAATATTTCTTGGAGAAAATCGATCCCGAAGATCTGTAGCAATTTAAAGTTAAGATACCAAAACCGAACAACCATGTTAAAGTAAAACTAGTGTTCAAATTGCCAGTCACAATGATTCCAAAATTACCAAAAGTTTTTAACTTCAAGATTGACTAAAATAACTTCTTTGAGGGAAATAAATATAAAAACTTTCAGGTGTCGTAGAATCGAATTTCCAGGGATTAACATTAAAGCATCATACTTCAAAACTCCGGGAGTTTCAGGATCTGGTCGGAGTGGAAACCTTCGGGTTCCGGGGAGAAGCTCTATCCTCTCTCTGTGCTCTCAGTAATTTATCCATCTCAACCCGACACTCCAGTTCTCCGCTAGGATCAAATATTTCATACGATCACAACGGTATTATTGTGCGAGTGGAGAAGATGGCAAGAACAGTTGGAACCTCAGTAATACTCCGGGATATATTTTCAACTATGCCGGTTCGTCAGAAGGAATTTGCGAGGAATTTGAAGAAGGAGTTTTCAAAGCTCTGCCAGGTAGAAATCTATTATTCTATATAATAAAGCTCTTCGCTCATATATATTTGTATGTATGAAATTGGATTAAAAATCTCCCAAGATCAAAGGATGATTCGGCAAAAAAAATATTTTTTGACAAACCAAAGCAAGTAAAAAATTCCTCCTGTTATAAGGTATTGAATGCCTACTGCCTGGTTAGTACTGGAGTAAGAATAATCTGTTCCAACACTGTGGGTCAAGGAAGGAAAACTATAGTTATGGCGACCAAGGGAGATGAAAACGTTAAAGATAATATTGTCAGGTAATTGTACTGAATCCATCGTTTTAAAGTTTTAAGTTTTAAAACTCACTTCATTAGTCATTATGAAACCACAATTTATTGGGGAAAAACGCTTAGTTTGCTTAATCTAATTAAAATTTAATCAATCTACCAAAAAAAAGAAAGTCTAATTTACCCAACCACTTATTTCTGAATTTGCTCAAACAAAGAACTCTTAATTTACCTAAATATGAAATTAAGTTCTAGTTTTCGAATGTACTAAACAGGGTTCCAGGTTAAAATTTGGAATTTTTAGTATTCTAATTTCGAGTGTACTAAACAGGGTTCCAGGTTAAAATTTGGAATCCTAGTATTCTAATTTCGAGTGTACTAAACAGGGTTCCAGGTTAAAATTTGGAACTTCGAGTATTCTAATTTTGAGTGTACTAAACAGGTTTCCAGGTTAAAATTTGGAATTTTTATTATTCTAATTTTGAGTGTACTAAACAAGGTTCCAGGTTAAAATTTGGAATTTTTAGTATTCTAATTTGAGTGTACTAAACAGGGTTCCAGGTTAAAATTTGGAATTCTAGTATTCTAATTTCGAGTGTACTAAACAGGGTTCCAGGTTAAAATTTGGAACTTCGAGTATTCTAATTTTGAGTGTACTAAACAGGTTTCCAGGTTAAAATTTGGAATTTTTATTATTCTAATTTTGAGTGTACTAAACAAGGTTCCAGGTTAAAATTTGGAATTTTTAGTATTCTAATTTGAGTGTACTAAACAGGGTTCCAGGTTAAAATTTGGAATTCTAGTATTCTAATTTCGAGTGTACTAAACAGGGTTCCAGGTTAAAATTTGGAACTTCGAGTATTCTAATTTTGAGTGTACTAAACAGGGTTCCAGGTTAAAATTTGGAATTTCTAGTATTTTAATTTCGATCGGAGTAAACATGGTTCCGTTTATAAATTCCATAGTAATCAGTAGTTTTCTTATGTACACGTACGTTGGAGAGATTAGGATTCAGGGTTAAAACTCTCGAGTAATCTCTTGGGTTCCAGGTCAATGTTCTTAAATTTAGTATACGGGAGTAAGCAGGCTTCCAGATTAATGGTTCTCAAGTAATAGATAGTTTTCTAGTGTATTGAGAGTAAGCAGGGTTCCAGATTACTGGTTCTCCAATAATAGTTAGTTTTCTAGTGTATACGGGAGTAAGCAGGGTTCTAGATTACTGGTTCTCTAATAATAGTTAGTTTTCTAGTGTATACGGGAGTAAGCAGGGTTCTAGATTACTGGTTCTCTAATAATAGTTAGTTTTCTAGTGTATACGGAAGTAAGCAGGGTTCTAGATTACTGGTTCTTAAGACTGCAGAACTTACCGAGGAGGAGCTAGCAGAGACTGGAATTAAAGGAACCCCTCCACAGGTTCAGATTACAGGTACAATTATTTGAAATGAATGATCCTGCGCTCTTGTACTTCTTCTGGACCTCCCCACGGTCTGTTCAAAAATTTTATTTAAAACATTTTAACCTTTCTATACTTATCCGACATACACACTGAATCCTAAAACATTTATACCAGAAATGATCCATTATAACCCAAGCAGACAAGGGTAAGTGGCTGGAGCTCAACATTGCCTACAGGACATACTACTTTAACTTTAGGTTGATTGGTTATTATAGTAATAATCAGGGGCGTAAGAGAACTCTAGTGTAGGGGGCGCGTTCGCCGAAATTTTTTTTGTGCACCCCCTAGAAGATTTGTGTCCCCCCTCTAAAAACCCATATTTTTACCAAATTTCTGCTTGGTTTTTTTATCTATATTAAAGAACTGTATATTTTTATACTTTGCTTGGTTTAGAACATATATTTGTAGATTATATAACAGAGTTGTACAGGAAATGAGATTTTGCAAAAGAACTCGTAAATTGTAATTTCTAAATCTGTGCAACCCGATGTCATAGATCATTAAAATTTCAAACTATGAATTTTATGAACTGTGAAAAATCCTAAGTTTAAAATTGTACGCCCCTGAATAATATTATGATTAAGCAAATTACAAATGTGCAGATTCATGTGATTCTCTCCTTGAGTTTAAGATGTTCATTCTGCATTCTAGTAGAATTGAAGCACATTCTCAGTAATAAAAATAACAATTAAGGGAGACAAATTTCTGTGAACACATTTAAAGTAGAAGAAAAATGTATAATAAAGCAAAACAGGGTTTTTTGAATATGCGAGTATCCTGAAGGAAGGATTTATGGTAAAATGTCGCACAGAAGTAATGAAAAAAGTGTTTAAAAAATAATATATTACCGTTTTTTGATTTCGAACAAAAATTTAGATGGAAGTGGTGTTATTATTGTAAAATTTAAAAGCACAAATATTTCGCATAAATTAAAATTTTAACTAACTATTTTTTGTACAGTCCTTTCATTTGAGGATATATATCCAGCTGTGAGCATGGAGAGGGACGTGGGGCGGCGGATAGACAATTCTTCTTTATAAACAGCAGACCTTGTGATCCGCCTAGGATCAGTAAAACTGTTAATGAGGTGCGCATTTTGTGATTTTACAATCAAGTTAGTAGTTTTTTCAATTTCATCTAATTTTCGATTTAAAAATTTTGAAGGAAAAGAGTACAAAGAAAGAATCGTAAATGGTCCTAATTTTATCATGCATCTTTATGTAAATCCAAATTTTCTGAAATGTAAGCGGTAAAAAATCTGGAGAGTAGTTCATAAATATGCAGAAGGAAACCCCGCTTTTTTCTTTTAGATTCATCGCGGATTTTCTTGAAATACTTATATTTTTACTTATGTGTTTCTAGGTATACCACTACTATAACAGGAATCAATTTCCCTTCGTATTCATCAACATAGAGACCCTGAGAACTAGTGTAGATGTTAACGTGACCCCGGACAAGAGACTTGTTTATCTCCAGAACGAGAAGTATCTCTGCTCTCTACTCCGGAAGACCTTGGAGACTGTGTTTAAGAACGGACCAAGAAATATTCCTCTCAACATTAACATTGCTCAGGTAGTTTCCCTAATTCTGCAAAATATCGACATACGACGAAAAAGGATTTTTAAAAAAACATCAAACTTTTAAAAATTGACGATTTGTAAGAATTTTCATTATTTCAAGATATCCCAGTAAGCATCGAAATTGTGAATTCTGTAAGATGATCCGAGTGTTTGTTTTCACGCGGAATTTGTCTAGCCTCATTTAAACCATTCCTAATTTCTGGATTCCTAAAGTATGTTCCTATTTTTCCTAATTTCTGGATTCCTAAAGTATGTTCCTATTTTTCCTAATTTCTGGATTCCTAAAGTATGTTCCTATTTTTTCTTTTAAAGATAGAAAAAGTTCAGACCGGGCTTTTCTAACCTTGAAATTAATGTCAGTTTGTTAATATTTATGAACAACTAGCTGAAGTGCCCGGCGTTGCCAGTGGAATTTTAAATTGAATTTTGAAAAAAAAAAATTTGATTAAAAAAAAAATCAGCCAATTTGGTCCAGCCGTTTGGCCACATATAGCTAACATGTATACAAATATATCTATATGAGCGTAGAGCTTTATTATGTACAATTTATTAAAAAGTCCAGTTTTAAATTTTTTGTAAAGTCTCAGAAATTTCAATCGAAAACCGACAATTTGGAACACAATAAAGTTAACTAGAACATTATGCTGTCTCTGTGTAAATGCTTCTGTTTATGTTTCCTTAAATTAGTATTTTTTTCATATTTTTCTGCATAATGTATATATGATGTATATAATATTCAAGTATTGTAAATATATTTTAGGAAAGAGTTGAGACAGGACTGATTAAAAACCTTGACTTGACTCAAAGTGGGTCTGGAGACAAGAAACAAGGATTATCCTCGCTCATCAATCTTAAGAGAAAATTATCCTCGGAGAAGGCTGAGAAACAAACGAAAAAACAACCCAAGGAATTTTATTATTCTTAAAAATGATAAAAAAGATTATTAATTTTTAAAGCATAAAAATTAAACATTGTTTTCAATTGTCGTTCATGAACTAATTTCAAGCTTTTCTTTTGGTATTCATATCTTTATTTTCTGATTTTTTGTTAGAAAATTTAATTTAAATTTGAAGAATAGTTTTGAATTTATTAAATCAATTTTTGTCTTTGATCTTAGATATGTATTAAAATTTACATTTTGCATGTTTCACTTGGAAATTCCGTTTAAACGAAATTTTGGAATTTTTAAAATTACAGTTAGATGATTATTTCTGTAAACTGGGAAGAGGAGATGGAAAGAATATGGAGGAGTCCGATATTAACGATAAATATGAAACCGTAAATAGTGCTTTTGCTCCGTCAGCAGACCGAAGCTCATCAGAAGGAATAAATCAATGAAAAAATTTAATAATTTAAATATGAGAATATATTTACCTCGCCCCATTCCTCTTATCCGTTTGTTACATAAGATTAAAACAAGTCGAAAGTGTAAAGCGAATAATTGTATTTTGGAATTCACAATATTTAGAGGAGTAATTAAACGTTTTACACTTATATTCATCTTTTTTCTCGGGGGGGGGGGTGGCTTTGAGAATTACATAGTATTTTTAAATATGGTTAAAATTGAAAAAAGTAAATACTGCATCTTTAATAAAATAATTTTGTACACTTAAGTATTAATCTTCTATTAAAATCAGAAAAAATAAAATTGAAAAAAATCTTATAATTTAATGTTAAAGTACACAAGTAAACATTTTTTTCAGTAAAAAAGCCGATTATTAAATGCAAAAGACAGAGTTGTAATGTCAAGAGATCTCGTGGATAAATAAACGTGATATTAGTTAAAAAAGAAAAATATGGGCGTTAACAGAAAGGTTAATGCCACCTTCTGAAAAAAACCATGGTTCTACATATTTCTGATTACAAGTTGTGAGCACTGAACCTCTTAATCAATTAATATGATTGATTGATTGATTTAACTAGACTTGGATTCCTTGTCAGCTCGACTCCACAGTCCGGAGAAATCTGAGATTGGAACCCGTTCTCGTAACTTATCCAGATCCCTGCCAAGCATTATAATGGAAAGCCGAGAATCTTTAAAACTCTCCAGCTCCTCCCAGCCTATCGTCATATTTGACGATTTTGAAACGATTAACCGAGAAAGAAAGGAAAGCACAAATGAGAACGGTTCCACCCAGCCTGTCGTCATATTTGATGATTTTGAATCGATAACCCGAGAACGCAAGACAAGCGCAGTGACGAATGGTTCCACCCAGTCTGTCGTCATAATTGACGATTTTGAAACAATTGACCGAGAACGAAAGGAAAATGCAGTGTCCAATTGTTCCTCCCAACCTGTCGTCATATTTGACGATTTTAAAACATCAATACAAGAAGAGTGCGTGAACTCAATAACGGGTGATTCTGGCTTGAAAATAACATTTGACGAGTTTCCTTTAGCCTCTGCATCTAAGTTCTCCGGATCTGGGAATACGGAAAGGATAGTCGATTCTAGTTTACAATTTAACCCGGAGCTAGGTTTAGAAGAGATAAACAAACCAGAGGACACCCTAGAAACATCATCCAAAATAGTGGAACCATCTTCACGTAAAAAGAAGTGTGTTAAATTATCATTTTCAATGAAGAAACTACGTGAAAGTCTTCCATCCCTCCTGAATACGAATTCAACATCAGGATCTAAACTCAATTTCTCCGCCAGGATAAACCCGGACGAGAACAAAACCGCGGAGAAAGAGTTGCAGAGACAAATATCTAAATCTAATTTCAAAGATATGAGTATTTTTGGACAATTTAATCTTGGTTTTATTATTGTTGGGTTGAAAGATGATTTGTTTATAGTTGACCAGCACGCCACGGATGAGAAGTATAATTTTGAAACCCTTCAGAGAACAACAGTGATAAACTCGCAGAAAATGGTTTCTCCGCAGAACCTTGAACTTACAGCTGTCAATGAAAACGTCCTGATGGATAATCTGGACGTGTTTGAGAAGAACGGATTCAAGTTCGACCTGGATCCGTCTGCCCCTCCGACCCACAGGGTCAAGCTTACTTCTCTTCCTATCAGCAAGAACTGGACGTTTGGTAAGGAGGATATTGATGAACTGATCTTCCTGTTGACAGAAGCAGGAGAAGGAACGGTTACTCGTCCTTCCAGGGTCAGAGCTATGTTTGCGTCCCGAGCCTGCAGAACTAGTGTCATGATTGGTAAAGCTTTATCTAAAGGTAAAACTTAAATTCAATCCAAGAGAGGGGGGGGGGGGTTATAGAGTTTGGAAACCGGATTAATAACAGTATCATCTGAAATACTCTAAACCACATTTCGACATATTATTCTTTGACCTCGTCAGATTTTTTAACGGTCAAAAAATAAAAATTATATTTAAATTCTATATTTTCATTCATATTTTAAGATCTTCTTAATCCTCTTAACTTCATAAGTTTTATTTTCAAAAGAAATCTGTGAATAACTGAACCTAGGATATGAATTTTATCACTGCCATGGTATTTAGGTGATATGAGAAGACTGATAAATCATATGGGAGAAATTGATCAACCCTGGAACTGTCCTCATGGAAGACCTACTCTCCGGCATCTGGTTTCTCTAAGTCTTGTTGAATAATAAGATCCCCTTTCATTTTGAGACTTTTTAGAATTTATTTTTTATTTGCGAAAATGTGATATTATTTTACCGCCAACCCTGACCAGTGTACCTGAACCCAAATCCGAATCATTTCAGATAAGTTGATAAAAAATGATTGAACTCGGTTTCAACCTGGATTAAGTTTTTGTCCTGTTAAAGGATGGACGAGGATATCTTGTCTAATCTAGGACTAGGAGTAGACGGAGCTGAACCTGATCAGGAGGATACACAACCACAGGATACAATAGATATAGATAATACAGAAAGGTATGAATACATTGAAAATGATTTGTTTCTCGAAGAAAAGGACAACTCACTTTTCTCCTTGATTTGTTGCTTCATGCAAATTATATAAAATCGAGTATTTTAAATGGGGTTTATACATCCCCATTTAAGCACTATATTACTTATTTATCTGAAAAGAAATCAAATAATAAAATTTTATTTTTCTCTTTGGAAATTATTACAATAGTTCTATTTCGGGTTCCCTTTAAGGTTTAAATAGTTTACGTGTTTAACGGAAAATACAAAGAAACTGCAATGGCCATTTCGCAAGAATGACAGTTCAAAGACAAAAATCCCAGATATCATGGATAGTGTTTCCCCCCCCCCCCCATATTTTTTCCCATTCTTTGGAATGTTCCGACAACAAAAGAATGAAATCTAGGAAGCGTAAAATAGAGCAGCTAGAATGGATGGAATGCCCAATATGTCTGGATACACCGCGGTCTGGTCCTATATACAGCTGCAGGAAGGGTCATATTATTTGCAAGGTAAATTTTATTGAATAGTCGACATTTTAAGAGACTGGTCGGGTAAAATTTATGAGGTTATGGACTGAAGCCTAAAAATTTTAGGAGTTGATCGCGACCAATATTAGTTTTGGAGTTGATCGCGACCAATATTAGTTTTATCTGATGTTCTTGTCTCGAGAAATTGATATAAAACTTTGTCAAAGTTATACAAAAACACAAATATACGTAATATGGCAGACGGAGCCACGTAACCAGAAACTGAACAGCCATTGGTGGAAACTCTGGTCACATGATTCAGACAGAGCCGTGTGACCAGATACTGCAATGCTATTGGGGTGGACATTCTGGTCACTTGATACAGACGTAACAATTTTATTATCAATTATATCGATTAAAACTGAATAAGTATTGTATTTAAATTACGATTGGCGCGTACCTAAAATCTGCACCTCTGGGTTATCTTAATTTTCAGAGTTGTTCCGTATTTGCTGAATATTATCTGTTTAAAACTTTGATTCATATATCATATCACATATATATAAGGTTTGGTATAACTTTGACACAATTTTATATCAATTTGTGAGACAGCGACATCAGATAGAACTTCTTCTTAACAACTTTATTCAATATCAAAATAAATCAACAAACGTATATCTCATTCGCAAAAACATAGAGAAAAATTCTCTCATCATATCTTCGTACCTATTGCTGTAATCAGTCAGATAGAACTAATATTGGTTGTGATTATCTCTTAAAATTCAGCCTTGACCCCCTTTCATTTTACCTTAACAATCCCTTTAAACTGTTAAAGAAAATTCTCCTGACAAAAATAATGATTTGTTTAGGAGTGCCAGCCTAAAGTAACACAGTGTCCAACTTGTAGAGATAAACATATTGACTGCAGGAGCATTATTGCAGAGAAATTACTAGAATCAACTCTTAAGGTAATAAAGGCGAAATATTTTTGATTTTTAGAATTATTTATAAATAGCCGAGTCTCCTTTAAATGTTTTCGTTTTCACTTTTTTTTGATCAAAAATGGAGGAAACCTCACCAAGTCTAAGAGTTGTTTCTTCATTGTTTTCTCATTGATGATGTCTATGAATAAATAGATGGTTGATTAGTTTTTACGTGGATAAAGTAACTGATTGATTTATCACCTTAAACGTTAATTATCTTATCCTTATATCTATATATTTTGCCAGGTCAAAAGGTCAAAATTCTAAATATCAAAGGTTTGAAAGAATTGCTTTGTGAGTTTCTACTAATGTTTAGGATACCCCTGTGAGCTGTAAATACCGTAGTTCTGGTTGTAACAGTGAAGATTTGGTGATTAACCTGGAGAGTCATGAGATCAGCTGTATGTTCCGGTCAGTCCGTTGCCCGGCCTTTCACAGAGGGGCTTGTAGCTGGCTAGGACCTCTTAATAAACTTATTCAGCATGTTATTCTTAAAAAATGTGCTCAGGTGGAATACATTGTACAAAGTGGTGGGAGGGGGGGGGGGGATAAATGTAGTGTATCCGTAATTTTGTCATTTGAAAAGATAAGAGAAACTAGCCCACTACATCTGAAACAGGGCGGCCAACTCTGCATTATATCAAAAAAGTCGGCGCATTATATTTGTGACTAAAGAATAAAATTTTATATTCTTTTTAGATTTTAGCTTAAGTTTATCCTTTTATAAATAAAGAATTTAAAATTGACAATTAACTTTTCAGGTTGTAAAAGCTAAACCTCCCTACTCCTACTTTGTTTCAACTATTGGAGATTTTGCCCAGGATCAGACCGTATTCTCTAAAAACACCGCAACTCACTGGAAACCAGTCATGCTTATATCACAGGAGGCGCTCAAGTACTTCTGCTACGCAATTTTCTATCGTGACGCACAGGGATACTGGTTTGCGTACGTACGCTCCATTTCACCACCCAGTACAATGAATACTCTGAGAGTTGAAATTCGTATAAAGAAGAGTGGAAGTAACGAGGTAACGAGATATATTTATATAATAACAATCTGAATGCAATTTTTTAAAGTATGATTTTTTCCTGTTAAAAAAAAAATAATAAAAATGGATTTTCAAAAATAAACTTATCTTTATATGCATAAGCTTTCTGCTGGATAGTTGTTTTTCAATTTACCTTTTGATAGAGACCCCTCCAACAATATAATAAACAAAGACAGCGATATTATTGATATTATGAAACGGAACAAATCTCAGCCATTTTCTTACTCGAGAAGTACACGAATTACTTTACGCCGGTGTCGTGTGTGGAGAGCCAAGTGTTTACACCATTTCTTCACATTTCTAGACATCAAAACCAACTTTTTAAACATATAAAATACTAGTTACGCATTTAATTCTAAAATGTGTTTTTCAAGGGGACAACGTCGTCTTCCTTATTATCAAACAATCATTTTTTCTTCAAGGCATGATGATTTTTAAACAAAATATTTAATAGATGACTAGATATCGGTTAAAGTATCAAAACCAGTGCTTAGGATCCATTTAATTTTGATGCGGATCCGGATCCGGATCCTGGATCCGCTTTTCAAAAAAATGGATCCGGATCCGGATCCAGGTCATTGATCAAGAAAAATTTTATTTTAGTTCAAATATCTTTTCATACCTAAAAAAATGTTAAACATTTTAACATTTTTTTACACTATTTTTCTACTAGTTTGCACAAAATGATAATGATTTTTTTTTTACTTTATTGGATGGAAAAAAAAACAGGTCTAATTCATATTAGCTTTTAGTAGAACCTCCGCGTTTGGAATATCTGCCTTCAGGCAACTCCTTAGGTCTGATTTGAATATCTTCAGGGCAGAGAACAGTCTCTTTATACTGGGAACACAAGATGTTCCTTAGCATCTGTATCTTTTAAGCATATGTGCCTCCCTTTTCCCCCTCACTCTTACACATCCTTACACCTTAATTTGTGAAGACTAAATTTGCTTAGTTGCAATGGGGAAAAGGGAGACTTCTCTCCCCCCCCTCCCTCTCTAGTTATTAAAGGGGGTGGGGGAGGGGTGCACGGTGGAGGTCTGAGTTAAGATTTGAGCAAGATAGAAACCTGAGACCCAGAGAATATTTTTAAAATCTGTTAAACAATTCAAAATCGGATATTTTTCTGGAAAATTAACGGTGTTTTGCACATTTTGAAAAATAAAATTGTGCTTGTATCCGGATCCGTGGATCCGCATTTTTTTGCGGATCCGGATCCGGATCCAGAGAGCCAAAATAATGGGGATCCAGCGGATCCGGATCCTAAGCACTGATCAAAACATTGGTTTTGATGTCTAGAATTGTGTAGAAATGATGTAAACGCTAGGGGATGGGCTATCACACTACACCGGCGCTTGTATTTCAAATTTCAAAGCAAATCATTAATATTAGATTGAAGATTTAAAGGCTTCTGTTGTTGTAAATCCTTTATGATACCTTTAGAAAGCGGGTTAATAAAACAATAACTGTGGTTAGCTGATTCATTTGATTAATTAGTTGATGGAAATTGAATCTTGTATGATTTATTTTAAGAAATTTCAGTTAAGAGTGCGTTAGTTCATTTTCATTTCCCTGTTTACAAACATATTTGTTATTTATAGATAGTAATCAGCTAGTTGGTTTTTAGATAGTTAATGTTCTTTTATATATTAGGACTGTGATACTTATGTTTACAATGGACGTGTGTCTTCCAGCGATGCTTCAGAGCAGGTAATTTACAGCGATGCTTTGGAGCAGGTAATTTACAGCGATGCTTCAGAGCAGGTAATCCCAGCGATGCTTCAGAGCAGGTTATTTCTAGCGATGCTTCAGAGCAGGTAATTCCCAGCGATGCTTCAGGCAGGTAATTCCCATCGATGCTTTAGAGCAGGTAATTTCCTGCGATGCTTCAGAGCAGGTAATTTCTAGCGATGCTTCAGAGCAGGTAATTCCCAGCGATGCTTCAGGCAGGTAATTCCCATCGATGCTTTAGAGCAGGTAATTTCCAGCGATGCTTCAGAGCAGGTAATTTCCAGCGATACTTTAGAATAGGTAATTTCCAGCGATGCTTCAGAGCAGGTAATTTTTCTGCGATGCTTCAGAACAGGTAATTTCTAGCGATGCTTCAGAGCAGGCAATTTCCTGGAATTCTTCAGAGCAGGTAATTTCTTGCGATGCTTCAGATTAGGTAATTTCCAGCGATACTTAAGAATAGGTAACTTCTCGCGATGCTCATAGCAGGTAATTTAAAGAAATACTCCAGAAAAGTAAGTTTCAAACGATGCTTCAAAGCAGGCAATTTTCAGCGATGCTTTAGAGCAGGTAGTTTAAAGCAAAGATTTAAAGCAAGTAATTTCCAGTGATGCTTTAGAGAGGTTACTTCTCGCAATACTTTAAACAGATAGTTTAAAGAAATGCCCCAGAACAGGTAACTTCCAGGAATCATTTAAAATAGGATACTTCCAACTTGCAGGTAACTTAATCCAGAAAAAGAAATTTATGCGTCGCCACAGAAAAATTTACCTGGCGCGAAAAATTAGAATGACATGCAAAACTAAATGATGGTTCTGACGTAAGTTAATCCTCCTTCATCGCTTATCTCTAATTTCTCCAGTCTCAATCAAAATCTACAATTTCAACAATATGTTTTCTTAATTCAGGAGATACGGGACAGTGGAAACTACTTGATGATGAGGGATGGGCAAGTGAAGAAGTTTATGATGGAGAAAACCATTATGGAGTACAATATCACCTTGAAACAGATAGAAGATACAACACAACCATTGAACTGAAATTATCATAAAGTTCTTATACGCAACAACAGAACTTAGAAACTATCTTGAAGATAGAACCCAACCACAGAACTTAGAAACTATTAAGGATACGACACAACCATAGAACTTAGAAACTATTAAAGATACGACACAACCACAGAACTTAGAAACTATTAAAGATACGACACAACCATAGAACTTAGAAACTATTAAGGATACGATACAACCACAGAACTTAGAAACTATTAAGGATACGACACAACCACATAACTTAGAAACATTAAGGATACGACACAACCACAGAAATTAGAAACTATTAAAGATACGACACAACCACAGAACTTAGAAACTATTAAGGATACGACACAACCACATAACTTAGAAACTATTAAAGATACGACACAACCACAGAACTTAGAACCTATTAAAGATACGACACAGCCATAGAACTTAGAAACTATTAAGGATATGATACAACCACAGAACTTAGAAACTATTAAGGATACGACACAACCACATAACTTAGAAACAATTAAGGATACGACACAACCACAGAAATTAGAAACTATTAAAGATACGACACAACCACATAACTTAGAAACTATTAAGGATACGACACAACCACATAACTTAGAAACTATTAAGGATACGACACAACCACAGAACTTAGAAACTATTAAGGATACGACACAACCACAGAACTTAGAAACTATTAAGGATACGACACAACCACAGAAATTAGAAACTATTAAGGATACGACATAACCACAGAACTTACGAACTATCTCAATTGATCATGGTCACCTTGGTAAACTAGTTAACCAACTATTGTCCCAAAATTTAGTGTGTTCTAGTTAAATCCTTTTCTCAAAAGTTAATTTATTTTTGTTACAATGTTAGTATGATTTATAAATAAACCTACTTTTATTAAATGTTAAGTAAGAGATGAGAAGACTAACCAATCTTTTAAAACTTTGAACAATAACCGTTAAATCAATATTAAACGATTTTCCATTAGTCAAAACTTACGGCGCCATGACAATCTCTGGAACGACAATATTCTGCAATATTAAGTAATGAACTCTCAATAATACAAACTTCTAAAATTCTTCATCGATGTTTTTGGCTCCCAAACATATTGTAACCGCAGCGCTTGGCCCCCTATCATGAAGAAAAGCCTTTCTTTTCAAACGTGGAGATTTTTGCAAATTTTTTAATAACGGATAATTAACAATTTTACAACATTTTTTCTTTTATATTTAAATATTAATTAAACTTGAGGTATAAACAATTTTATGTTACCTCAATTTTCAATTATTTTTTAATTCTTTAATTTTCTTTAGAAGACGACATACATATTTAAGAGTCCTGGTACTACTGGATCTATTGTCTATGATTTTGATAATGATATTAAAATAACACTAGCTGGAGTGCCCGGTGTTGTCCAGATTTATATTATTTTTCATAGTCTATCGTTACTCCCGCTGTTTACCCGCGCTTGGTATTTAATCGTGATTCTAGCTAAAAGGCCCGGTAATGCCTTTGGAAATTTTAAAAACTCCAGAAGTCTGCAGTCTGTGTACCCTCCGGGATAGCCATGGGTTCCCTAAAAAATTCAGCCAATTTTGTCCAGCCGTTTGCTAACTATAGTTAACATATAAATAGATGATCGCAGAGCTTTAATATATATTAATTTTGTTGTTTTTATTCTCTGTCCGTTAAAAAATAAGTTCAGGATTACACGCATTTATTTCTTCCTAGGTTTTTTTTTATGGGAAATCATAGATACCCTGGGGTTGAAAATAACTAATCATAACACTTATTTTTAGTTCGCACGTCGTGCCAAAATAATAGTTTTGTAGATAATTTTATGAAACGTTTGTGTTTTTGTCTGATTACAAAGGCTACTTCTAGATATATAAAGCTTTTTAAGAAAGCAGAAATAAAATATAAAGTTGATTTCAATTTTGTTTTAATTTAAATTGAAAAAAATTCCGGGAACTGATCAACACTTTATAGCGCACGTATTAAAATGTACAGCTAATTTAACATTAGCACGATGATACCTTTGTAGCACTTTCAAAATAAAATTCGCCCTGAAGTGAGGTAAAATATTTAAGTACACAATAACTTATTAAAGCTTTTTTAATGAAACACACATTTTTTGACCTAGACTCCCTGGACAGACTTTGCTTGGTCAAGAACTTTGTTAACTTTGCATAGCGATACCTTTGACCACACCTGTATTTGATCAATTACGTGTGAGATATTGTCGTTTTTCAAGCTTTTGTTATTCTTACTAACAATTTCCTTCGTTGTTACTAAATCAGAATTGCGCAAGCTTTTTAACTAACTTAAAATTATTAATTTTCACAGAGAAGCTATCTCCTGCATTCTTTACCATCAAAGCATTTTAAGGATTCCTTTGTGAATCAGACTTGCAACTCTATCAATGGAGACACTTGAAATATGTCTTCTCTTAAATATTTAGACCAACAAAATTAACTTTCAAAGAAAAGGTTTTTTACCATGCGGTGAGACGGTAAAGTAAAAGATTTATTTAAAACTGCAATGCGCTTGTTTCTAGCTTAAGCCTAGAAGGATAATCGGCAAAATATTGCTCGAATTGTGTGTGCAGTGCAGATATAGATTTAGCAGAATTTCTATGTTCATACAAAAAAAACTGTTGGCAATAAACCAAAAAAAATAAAGACCCCGGTCGTAAATTTGTTGAACGGTAAACCGTCATATAAACTAACTGTCAAGTTTGTCATGATTCATAGATAAATTTAAGTTTGAAATTTGTTTTGATGCAAATATCATAATTGTAGTAACACTGTATTTCCGTTGCTTTTACAAATTCAATTTGTCACGATACAAAAATATTCCACCTCTACTCACTACAATATTCCACCTCTACTCACTACATTCCACCTCTACTCACTACAATATTCCACCTCTACTTTCTACAATATTCCGCCTCTACTCACTACAATATTCCGCCTCTGCTCACTACAATATTCCACCTCTACTCACTACAATATTCCACCTCTACTCACTACAATATTTCACCTCTACTCACTACAATATTCCGCCTCTACTCACTACAGTATTCCGCCTCTACTCACTACAATATTCCACCTCTACTCACTACAATATTCCACCTCTACTTTCTACAATATTCCGCCTCTACTCACTACAATATTCCGCCTCTGCTCACTACAATATTCCACCTCTACTCACTACAATATTCCGCCTCTACTCACTACAGTATTCCACCTATACTCACTACAATATTCCACCTCTACTCACTACAATATTCCACCTCTACTCACTGCAATATTCCACCTCTACTCACTACAATATATCACATCTACTCACTACAATATTCCACTTCTACTCACTACAATACTCCGCTTCTACTCACTACAATATTCCACCTATGCTCACTACACTACAATACTCCGCCTCTACTCACTACACTATTCCACCTCTAGTCACTACAATATTCCACCTCTAGTCACTACAATGTTCCACCTCTACTCACTACAATATTCCACCTCTACTCACTAAAATATTCCGCCTCTATTCACTACAATATTCCTTCTCTATTCACTACAATATTCCGCCTCTACTCACTACAATATACCGCCCTAGTTTTATCCAAAATTCAAACAGATGGGACATTAGATTTTGTCTTTTCATGAATTTTTATGTATTTCGTTTACACTACCCCTGAGGTAGAAGCTCAAAGGAGTTACGTGTAGTCGGCGTAGAACAGGCTCTCTCTCTGTCTGACATCTGTTACTTTAATTAATCTAAGTTTTTCGTTTAAATGCATCCGCCAGCATAAAAGTATCAAAGAGAATTGGTAAAATTGTGATTGAACGTTACACTTAGTAGGACAAGGACCGAACTGTTAAATGGTATTCAGTATTTTGAGTCAACTTCAGATTAAGTTGTTTTCTTTGAAAGAAATTATAAAAGCATGAAATGTGAATAATTCACAATTGTAAATTAATGATATTGTCCGTCGAAATATCTTTTGGTAAGCGAAGTTGATGAATATTAATAGAACATTTTCAGGTTTCTATATTTAGTTTGAAGTATATCCTACTTTTCTCAATATAGAATTAATTATTAAATTTCCTTTATTTTTTAAGCTTTAAGAATTAGGATTTTAGTTTTCAGCATCCAATTTTTCAGACATCTTTGTGTCTTCATCCAAGTATCCAAGTATCAAAGTTTCTATGTATTTAAGTATCCATCTATTTAAGTATCCAAATTTCCAAGTATCCAAGTTTCAAAATATTCAAGTTTCCAAGTAACCAAGTTTCCAAGTATTTAGGTTTCCAAGTATTTAGGTATCCAAGTTTCCATGTATCATAATCAAAGTATCTAATTATCTAGGTATCCAAATATCCAAGTATTCAAGTATCAAAGTAACCAGGTTTCCAAGTATCCATGTGTCCAAGTATCTAAGTATTCAAGTATATACAGGATGAGTAAAAAATCACGGTGAATACCGAGATCTTGCATATAATAAAGCACTTTTTTGGTAATCTTATTTTTGACAAATAAGTATAAAATTTTTGATTTTTTTATATGCAATCTGATAGACCCTTTAAAAAATCCACAAAACTATTTCTTAGTCAAATAAAGATAAGTAGAAAAACGAAAGTCCGGGTTAATATGTATTATTTCTATCACATCTGATCTGATTTTAAGGTATGTTAGAAATAATATATTCCCCACTTTTGTTTCTCCGCTCATCTAATTTTGAGTGAAAAATAGTTTCGCGGATTTTTAAAAGGGTCAACCTTCATGGGGGTTGCGGGAAGACATGCATAATGCACAAAGCTACAATTATTTAACAAGAAGGGGGGGGGGGGAAGATTTTAGATAAAAGGGAAATACTAAGGTAAAATTTGAAAGTAAATGCCGAAGAAAATGTTCAACTACTTTTTAAGGGAAAAACACCCCTTTGAAGATGAGGGCAAAATCATTTTTTACACACCACACCTGATTTTAACCTTTGCAGGGCCCCCCCGAGGGGGCGAAAGGAATACTGCCTCCCCCCTCTGTCTATGCGCCTGTCTATTTTCTATATATACACATATATATATATATATCTATTTTATGTATATATCTCTATTCTCTATATTTATCTCTATTCTTTATATATATCTCTAAATTTGCCTCTTTACATCTAAATATATACGACTGTGCTGTCTAGTTTTGACCTTGGACCCTACGAAGTAACGTAACATCCCTTTATTAAGCAACTATCTATCTATCTATCTCAGAATATTATCTATCTATCTCTCTTCCTGTGTATATCTATCTATCTATCTACTCCACAAAGCACCCACCATAAAGCTCTCAGCCAACATATACATAATATTATACAACACAAAACTATGCAAAAATTGTAAAATTGAAAAAACACCAATTTTTATAATAAAAGATCTCTAAATTTCTCAAGATCATTTGATTTTTTGAAAATACTCTAATTTCATTTTTATGATTTATTAACCCCTGTTTTTATATAGTGAGCTGAACTAGGCCTTTTTAAACAGGGTGAGTAATTATTACAGCAATTGTTTAAAATCTAGATTTAAAATTGAAGAACAGGACAAAACTATAAAAAGAGAATATAGAATTATTTGAAGGATAAAATGTTCTCCCTGAATTCTAAACAATATTCTCCTCAATTTTGACTTCGGTAACTCTGAACTCAGTTCTACGCCAAACCCTGAGAAGCTGTGAGGCCTGGCCCCTGTGCTAGTGATCAAACCCAGAGCAACATTTTCAATCTAAACCCCATTCCGCGGCATGTTATTTAAAATATCATTTAAACTTATTTTTGATCTGTAAAATACTATCTAGTCGATCAGTATCACGTGATAAAGTTTAGTTAATTTTCGATTTG